TCCTTCCAATTTGCTAACAGTAGGTCCAGAATCAGAAGAGAATAAACAAAAACTTCAGTCCATTTATGCAGCTATAGTTCTCACTATAAACTTGTGGTTTTGAACTGCCTTGGTTTTCAGCAGTGGTAAAGACTGGTCGTAGAAGAAGGCTTTTTTGGAAAAACGAGCTAGTTTAGGGGCAGAAACATCATGTGTTAAAAGTTAGTCAAACCTAGTCATCAGGGAAATGCAAATCAAACCCACAGAGAGAGACCACTTCACACCCAGCGGATGGCTGCAATCAGAAAGACAGATGGTAACAAGTATTAGTGAAGATGTACGAAAATCAGAACCCTCATCCACCGCTGGTGGGAATATAAGATAGTGCAGTCAATTTGGAGCATAGTCTTGCAGGGGAAGGAGGGCGTAGCTTAGTGGTGGAGCGCATACCTAGTGTGCACAAGGTCCTTGGTTCAATCCCCAGTACCTCCATTTAAAATAAATGAATTATCTCTCCCCTGAAAAAAATTCTAAAAAAAGAGACAAAATAGTCTTGCAGTTCCTTAAAAAGTAAACATAGAGTTACCATATTGCCCAGCAATTCCACTCCTAGGTATATACCCCAGAGGAATGAAAACATATGTCCACACAAAAACTTGTACACAAATGTTAACAGCAGCATTATTCGTAATAGCTTAAAAAGTGGAAACAATCCAAATGTCTATTAACTGGTGAGTGGGCAAATAGTGGTATATCCAGACACTGGAATGTACTTATTCAGCAATCAAAAAGAAATAAAAACTTAATTCATGCCACAACATAGATGGCTAGATTTTACAAATAATATGCTAAGTGAAAGAAACCAGTCACAAAAGACCAACATATGGTGTGATCCCATTTATACGAAGTATCCAGAATAGGCAAATCTATAAAGACAGCAGGTAGATTAGTGGGTGCAGGTGGGAGTGGGACAAGAGGTGACAGCTGAAGGGTGTGAGTTTTCTTTGAGGTGATGAAAATGTTCTGAAATTGATTATGGTAATGGTTGCAACTCTGAATATACTGAAAACCACTGAATCACACAGTTTAAACAGGTGAATTTTATGACATGTGAATTATATATCAATACAGCTGTTACCAAAAAAATCATCAAAACATTAAAATAGCTTATAACCTATGCATTTGGGTGCAAGTTACTGTTTTTATGATTCTTAGGCTGTTTTAAAAATCTCTGATGAGGTTATTTTTAGGCTAAGTTGTTAGCACAGTTGTTAAAGAGCAAAGGTTTTGGATCAGACAGACTGGATCAGCTGGTAGCTGCAACACTTGCAAATTGTTTGTCTTTGGGCAACTCATCTCACCTTTCCAAGTCTCAGTTTCTTAAATTGTTGAGAACAATACTGGTCTCTTAGGGTTATTGTTAGAGGTCCACAGTGAGAGTGCAATAAGTGTTAGCCACACAATGTTAAAACAAATTATTGACTCATCATCAATGTGCTATCTAAAACAGGAATTAAGAAGTCTTGTCTGTGAGCAGGGAACAGTGCAGAATGATTGTAATGGAGAGATGTTTCAACAAATACATAACGTACTGAGCGGTATGCGTTCAGTGGTGGGTGCTGGAGGGGGTGTGCTTAAAATAACATGGATCTCCTTCACCCCCAGGAGTTTACTGTCTGGTTAGTGGCACTGAGAGTAGAGGGTACACCTTCCTGTACAGATAATTTTAATATTAATACAGGTTTAAGATAGGAGTTTGTACCAAGTATACAGCAGCAAGAGGAGAAGCTAATGAAAGGAATTCATCAGAAGGTATCCTGCAGGTGACACCCAAGCTGAGTATTGGAGAATGAGATAATTTAGCCTGGTAAAAAAAGGCTAGAAGGACTTCCCTGGTGACAGAAACACTGCAAGCAAATGCCTGAAAAGCCCGTTGATATGTCGACTCTCAAATTTATATCTCCCAAATTCCAGGCTCCCATGTCAACTGCAAACTCAAAATCTTTGCTTGGATGGCTAAGAGGCAGCTTAACCTCTGTCTGACCTGTGGTCCACTCACAGCTTTCCCCATCTCCAAGGACTGTAACTCCATCCTTCAGGTTGCTCGTGGCAGAAACCTCTGAGTTATTCTCAACTACTTTCATTCCTACATCTAATTTGTCAGGGAATCATCCTGGTTCTAACTTTAAAATATATGCAGAATCCGAGTCCATCTCAAGCCTGTTACTGCTACCACCGTGCTCTGAGCCAGATCTGTTACTACCTGGGCCCATCTCTATTCTATCCGTACAGCACCCAGAGTGATCCTTTTAAATACATGTGAAATCTCTCTTTACAACTCCTTTTTTTGGGAGGGGGAAAGTAACTTATTTTATGTATGTATGTATGTATGTATGTATGTATGTATGGAGGAGGTACTGGAGACTGAACCCAGGACCTGGTGCATGCTAAGCATGGACTCTACCACTGAGCCATACCCTCCCGCCTCTTCACAACTCCTGTAGTTCGCATCTTAGGCAGGATGAGAGTCCATCTGAGGGCGGACAAAGCCCTTTCTGATTTCCCTCACACGTCACCTTTTTCTTCTCTTCACTACTCTCCCTTGATTTCGTTCGGCACACTGATTTTGTTTGGCCAAGGGAGTAGTCCATTGCTTTATTTTTTGTCTTTGCCTGTGTATGGTTGAAAAGGCAATAAATATAACTAAGCAGGTGTTATAGTTCCTGGCAGTACAAGCACCCATTGTCTTACTCCTTGTTTGCTTAAGCATTCACACCTGTGGGTCCCTGGGAGGCGAATGTGGAGCCACTGAAGCTTTTAAGTAGGTCAGATTTGCATTTAGATTATTTTGCTTTCTGCATGCAGAATGGATTTTAAGGGGAACTCCACTAAAAGCAGAGTCTAAGAGACAAGTTAGGAAGTTCTTACAGCTGTCCAAATGGGAGCCTGTGCTAGGGCTGCGGTTATTAGTGGGAATGCAGAGAAGATTCCAGATTCCACAAATACTTTAAGGTAGAATTGGCAGAACCTAGCGCTTGGCTGAATATGGGGTTTCTGGCCTGGGTCACTTGGTGGATGAAGGTACCATTTACTGAACATGGAATTTATGTAGGAAGATGAAATTTGACAATAAGAAATCAGAAGAGTGTGAATTTCCTTTGGACATTTTGGTTTGGAAGCATCCAAGAAGATCTGCCACTGGTAGCAACTGAATTTAGGGTTCTTAGGCTCAGAGGGAGAGGTCTGGGTTGGAAATTTGAGTTAGCCACGACATTTCTAAAAGTGTCCCCCCTCCCCCCCATTAGAAGCATTGTCTTTCTTTTTGCAAATTTCTCTTTTCACTTAAAACTGCTCTAACATAATTTTCCCTAGAACACACACCGTGGGCATCCTCAGTTGACTGTTACGTCTTCTTGCCTCCTCTGGTAATGGCTAAAGCCTACCTATCTTGAAAATTCGGCTGTCCTAACCGACTGGAGGAAAAATGTGGGGAAGATCTGGTTCCTAAGGCACGCGAATATTTAACTTTTGATGGAGGCATTTGATACAACTGTGAATGAGCTCAAGCAAGAGTATGTGTGTGGAGTACTCGTCCTCCTTTAGTATCAAAAAAACTCTTCCCTTTCTACCCACTCATCTCAGGAGGACCAGCCCGTCTGGCCTCCACTCCCGCACCCGCTCCGAGCAGGATCTTTTGTTTCCACGGACTCCACATTTCCTGGACGGCGCGGGCGGGAGCGCGTGCGGGGAGCACTGGCCGAGCCGCGGTCACCACGGCAACGAGGCCCCGGCTGGTGCGGGGGCAAAGGGCGACGCGC